GGAATTCAAAACTGTTTATCCAGGCTTGGTTGCATTTGTGTTGCTGGCATTTGGGGATGTCAGCTTTCGATCTTGGTGCCTTCAGCAGCATCTTCAGATCTTGCTGTCAGTCAGGGACTGATTTTCAGTCTTTAATTTTTTACGCATTCCCTTGCCTCATGCTGCAGTTGGGAATGTTCATTCTCTCAGGAAGGAGGTGATGTGAATTCCCTCCTGCAGGGCTGAGGTGACCCTCGGTTACTGCTGAGGGACAGGCTGTGCAGGAGCTGCTGATGAAACACTGCCCAGGAGTTAGTGGGCCGGCAAGGGTGTCCTGCTGCACAGAAGAACTTAGTGCTGCATGTAAATACCAGAACTGGAGTTTAAGTTTCAAAGTACGGGATCTGTGTAAATAAAAGTATCTCAACAAATTGATAGCATTTCCTATCAAATGGGTGTAGGGAGCAGAGCTGTCATTTTTACTTAGAAATTATGGCATCAGCACGTTCAAACTTCTCAGGTGTTGGCTTTCCAGACTTGCACAGTTACCTACCGTTACTTGATTTTCCCCTTAACTTTCCTGAGAATTTGGCAGCCAAAGCATTTGTAGATCAACTTCTTTATTTTTGCATAATGGTACACAATCATACTCTCTGCCTGGGAAAAACCAAGTAAATGACTTCCAGCTTTAAAATGAAATGTCTGTGCTTGTATGAAAGAATTCTTTTTGTTCTACATAAACAAAGTTTGACAGCTCGACAGGACTGAAAGCAGAATCTTGGCCTTTTAAACTGGTAAATTTGACAAGTTTTAAACTTGTAAATGTAGTAATTACAGAGCATCAACAGGAAGGCCTAACAATGTTCCCTGTCTTCTGTAAACTGTTAATGCTTTGGAGCAAATAGTGAGGCTCTGAAACCAGAGCTGTTCCCGGGATACTCTGATATCCCACTGGGTAGGGGAAGAGTTGTTGCTCTGGGCCCGTGAGCTCTTGAGGTTGTGTGGCTGGTTGATTGTTTTGGTCCTCTCTCCTCTTGAACAGGAACCATGCCCAAGAAAGATAATAATAAATAAAGAAGGCAAAGTGAATTACATGCAGCTGAAGAAGGATTTTGACCAGAAAAAGGCAACAATACAGTTTCATCAGCCTCAGAGATTTAAGGTGGGATTGTTTCACTGGATATAATTGATGCTGGCTTAATAATGTGGTGTGTTTGAGTTGCACTAGACATGGCTTCATCTCTGTCCCCAGGGGAAGTGGTTGACATTGATGACCTGCTGAAATCTTTACATGAGCTGGATTAAAACACAGTTTATACTTTTGCACTGTCCATCATGTTTCACTGCTCTGCAGTAAGAACAAAATCCGATTCATGCTATAATATGTGTAATAATATATTCTTTTTAAAATTTTGCTCTGTCACATAAAAGTTTGGAAACAAAAACCAAATGCACAAAATTGATGATTAGGCATCTGTGCTTAAATTATCCCTTCTGCCCCACTGTTTCCTTGTGCAAACTTTGTGGCTTTTGAGCCACTTCCCTTTAATGGAGGGTAAGGTGTGAAACCATGTGAAATATTTCCAGTGTTCTTGCCAGTGAATTGCACCATGGAAAGGCACCAGCCCATTTTAGCTGAGTGTTCTCAGTCCTTGAGTTTGAGAAGGAGACAGTGGTGCTGCACAGTTGTGTAAAGGACTTGGATTCTTGGAGGTGCTTTGATTCAGGTAGTCTTGAAGGTGTCAACACAATTGAATTGTGAGGTGGGCCCAAATAAGATCCCAAATACAAGCTGAGTCCCAGGTATAGTGTTCCTGGCTGCTGTCAGCTTTAATGGCCAAGCTGCACTTGTGTGGATCTGGTACTTGGCACGTTCTGCTGTTTCCCTTCGGTGCCTTGTCTGTCACATGTGGGGTGTGGATGAGTCAAGTTTGGTTTTGAATATTCCCAAATGATTGGAGTGACTGGTGAAAGGTCTCTAACCTCTGTATGTTCTCTCTGGTGAGAGAATGCAGGTCCTGCATGTGCTTATTGTCTTATGGTGTTCTGCTGTTTGTGGGGTTATTTTCCTCTGTTCAGCCTTGTCTGTCTGGTTGTGCAGCCTAAAGATGGCACAGGGAAGAGAACAAACCCAGGTTGGGGCACCAGACTTTTTGGCTTAGCAGTGACTCTCCTGGCAGATCCCCTTTGCATCTCCAGTGCTCTCCTTCAGGAGAAACACTGGTACAGAGCACCTTCCTTCCCAGCCTCTGTGTCCCTGATGTGATCATTCTTCCCAAGCCATGGGGAGGATGTGGGCTGGGCTTGCCTGAGCTCTTCAGCAAGTAACAGCATCTTTTTTTTTTACAGGAGGAGCTGTGGAAGATTCAGGAGAAGCTGGAGTGCTACTTTGGGTCTCTGGTGGGGTCCAATGTTTCCATCACTGCCCAGGGATCCCAGGGCCTTCCTCCTCACTATGATGATGTTGAGGTAGGACAGCACAACCTTGCCTGGGAAATTGTGCATGGGCTTTTGCTGATGGCAGTGTTTGCTGTTGTGTGTGTGCTTCTAACCCTCCCCCCCACTAAACATTATAGGAAAATGTTTTTTTTTTTAATTTGTGTTTCCTTGTAGTCGTTTTTCTTACGTATTTTTGCTGAAAATTTACTAATAGTAATATCTAATCATAATATCATGTAAACTGGGTTTTCCAGACCTGGTATTTCCCTTAGACAAAAAGAGAAGTTTGTTTTCACAGCTGCAGAAGCTTTCTAGCACCTGTTTTTTCATTTTCACTTCATTCAGGCCCCAAGAATTTACAAGTCCTTTTCCCTTTACTAAGTACTTGCTCTTTCTTCAGCTGGACTGTAACAGCAGACTGGTTGTGCTTGTTGGTCCTGCTGTTTTTAAGAAGTTACTGATATGATGAATTCCTGTGGTCCAAATGCATTTTAAATCAGCTTCTAAAAGAAACATACAAAGATACACTGCGTTATAAAGAAAAAATTGGACTATCCCACTTAAACCAAATCAAAAAATCCAATCCTTATATGTATATTTTGCTTTTTAATATTTTCATTTCCATTCAATACACCTGGAGTTTCATTTTCCTTATGCTTGTTATTCAGCAGCCTCACATCCAGCATTTCTAACTCATGCCATCTACCCCCATTGGGCACCCTATAGAGGTTTCTGATGCTCTGTTGGGGATAAGCCTCTTTCACCTGAAATTTTGGCTATTTGTGTGGCAGATGTTCCTTTTGGGTTAGTTCTCTAGCACTTACTGAAGTGACTGGAGAGAAACAGGGATTTCCAAATGCCTGCCTTAGGATAAAACAGATCCCACTTCACAACTCCTCTGTCTGTTGTCTCTAAATAGAGACAAAAAAAATTAGTTCAAATTTAAATTTCTCTGAATTGTAGCCATCTAAAAATTAATGAGGGGAGGGTTTGCACACTGCGAGCACGAGAAATTTGGGTGATAGTTGTCTGTATCCTTTTTTAAAGGTATCCTTTGCTTCTAGTATTTAAATAATGGGCCAAAACCCCCAGTTATTTCTGTAAATTGACTGGTACTCTCCAGGTTGGGCACCCTGACTCCTAGGTCATGTTTGTGGAGTTGTGTGCAGAAAAAACACTGGGTTTGTGTATGGTTCTAAAACATTTTTATGCTTTTACATGCTGCCTGTAATCCCTCAGGCTAATCCTTCTGTGCACTGAGACTTACTGCTGCACTGAACATTGTCACTGTTCTGGTGAATGAGATTTAAATATTTATCCTTGGCTGATAAAGAAAAGCATGACCCAAACCCCATATAAACTTGCTGTATTAATTGCTCTTCCTTTTTCCAAACGTGAAATTCAAGTGTTTGGTTGGTGGTTGATTTTTGGAATGAAAGGAACATTTCATGAAGATTACTGAGTGTCAGCAGGGAATCTGGTGCTTGTCCTGTTCTGTTTGACCTGCTTTTGAAGTGTTACTTGTCCAGCTGGTGGTGCTGCTCCATGCTGGAATCCTCAGGAGTTTCTCTGCCTTTTGGCCTGTTATGGAGCCTCTCTCTGCTCTTCTCAGTGTCCAGAGCTGCATTTGGGTGTCGGTGTTTGAGGAATAGTGTGACATGTTGGATGGTGTAGGTGTTTTAGGAACAGTGTGACACATTGGATGGGATGCTGACATCATGAGCTGTGTTGTTTGACAGAGGGGAATATTCAATCGTCATCGTGTACTGGGTGATGCAAAGTCTGGTAAACTACAGTTCCCTTTTTCATTCCTGGAATATTTTGGACCAGACTTCAGTGCCTTTCATTTTTATGGAATAATGATGGGCTTAAAAGTTATCCAAGTTTTTAATTTATTTTTCTTCTGTTTGCTGTTGTTCACTTCCTGTGACCCATTTCTTCTGGGTGGCTGCTGTCAAAGTTTGGTTGTCTCTTTGTGGCTGCCTCTGAGAGGGATGCTGTTGTTGGACTCTATTTCCTCCCTAAACATCTTTCTAGAACATTTCCTTTCTCCATCTTTCAAGTGAAGAGAATTCAGAATACTCTTGGTTGGTGTAGTCCCCACTCTGGTAAGGAAGGCAGTTTTCTTTGGCTGTGCTGTCCAACTCTGTAGGTGTTTACAGGACAAGCCATAAGTAAACTTTTATTTCCTTCTTGGAGGCAATTTTATGTGCTTTACACCTTTCTTGTCTTGACTTTCCTTATCTAGTTTTTTTTTTCAGTGTGGAGTTTTAATTTACATAGGTGAGAAGAAAGATAGGGAGGAGGAGGAGGAAGGTCGTACCTGTTTTTTAAGTGCTTTAACTGAAAATCTCAGACAACAGTATTGTAACAGATTACCATTTTTATAGACTATTTGGCTTTTCTCGTGGAATACTAGCCTTTTCTTTTGATGTGATCTGACCAAATCCCCATTTCACTGCTCCTCTGCCAGCCCACTGTGTTGCCAGCAGGTCCATCTCAGCTGCTTCTTTGTCCTCTTCCTGCAGCTCAGTGGGAGTCTGTGTGTTCTGTGATGTTAAAAACCTTGCTTCATGTTTTCAGCAAATATTGACAGCAGGTTGGAAAGTTTAAGGTTCTGAACTTCTGGCTTAGTGTTCTTTATGTTATTAAAGTGTACATTGCAGGACTGCTCCATTTTGTGATTCTAAAGGATATATATTGTCAGACTGTCTGCTCAGAGTATTTTCTCTGACTGCAATAAGGTTTGACCTGGTGCCCTAAATATATCAATTTTCTTGCAGCCAGGTGACTTACTGTACTTCCCAAGAGGGACCATCCACCAAGCTGACACTCCTCTTGGGACCTCCCATTCCACACACGTGACCATCAGTACCTACCAAAACAAGTAATTATTCTTTATCTTTTGTTTTGTGTGGCTTTCCTCTGCCAAGTGATGTGTGTGAGTAGTACAGACCTGAGATGTGGTGAAGTTCTGGGGCTTGGGGGAAGGAGGGGAGCAAGAAGACTGTTGTTGTTTGAAGCAGCCTGTTGGAGAGGGTTTCATGCAGCAAGCTTGATTGCTTTTTAATTGCTTATTTTATTATTTACCAGCTGTAGGCTTTAATGTGGAAAATGCTACAACTGCAAACTCACTTCTGTATTTAAAAAAATCTCTCATCAGTGGCTGAAGTTACTGTTCATTTCATAGCTCAGATAAAGAGTCATGAGTTACTCCTTTCATCATGTTTTCTCCTGTATTTGATAGTCACCTGCACTAATCTTCTGACAGATTTGCTGCCAATTCTTCCTTGCAAACATTTTCTGCTTATCTGTGGTTTTTTTTTATCTCCTACCCCATGTATGCAAGTCAGATTTCTTATGACACACTCCCAGTCCTTGTGCCCACACTGTTATCACACAGGGAAATGTTCTTGCCAACCTAATCAGCCTCCCAGATGCTGGGTTTGGAGCCATTGGTCTGAGTTAGGAATTAGGAAGGGCAGAACAAGTTTGGGCATATTCTAGATAACTGTGAGATGAATCTCTAACCACCAGCTGTGCCATTCTGGAAGCCAGGATGGGCTGGTAACTCTTCATCTGGCCACTCCTCCAACCTGGAGAGAGGGTTAAGAGGAAGCTGCTCAAAGGTGTCAGTCTTCTGAAAAGTTGGGTTCAGATGATTTCAATTTACACACGTGTTCTTTTATTCAGAAGGTAAAAAAAAAACTAACCCCAAAAAACAGGAGAGGAAAAGGAAAAGCTGCTCTTCTTCCAAGGTTAAAAAGTGGAGTCATCCCCCGTTAAGGCTGTTGGTGATGAAGTGCTGACATCCTGCCTCTGCACCTCCTGTCAGCAAGTGCAGGGAAAACAAGCAGGAGTCCTGGTGCAGGCTGGTGTTCTGACTTGTAGATGGGAGTATGATCTGGAAGCATTTCCTTGGCAAATTGAAGAGAAATCCTTGAAAGCAGCTGTGGAGGAAGTGCTGGTGGAGGTGGCACTTCCAGGTATTTTCAGGTTTGTCTGGGCCAGATCCCAGCAGGAGAGAAGTGTGCACATGTGGGATAAGCAGGGCAGTTTGGGAAAGCAGTGAGTAGCTGAAGACAGTTGCTGGCAGATGGAGACTCTGGGGGCAAAAGAAGGGAAGTAGTGAGGAGTAGATGTCTAATTCCTTTCACTGGCCAGAGTTCTTCCCTCCCACTGTGTAGCAGACAGTGGGACACTTGAGTGGAGATGATAAAAAAATATTGAGACTACAAAAAGTGGCACTTTTTCTTTTTCCTAAACTAAAGTAGTGTCTAGAGATCAGAGCTGACAGCCAGGAGTGCTGAGGGAGAACAAGAGCAGAGGGTGAAGTGTCTGTTGGAGGACAGGCCCTGCCCTGCTGCCTGCCCTGGGTGGGTGGGAGTTCTGCTGGCAGCCCTGGATGTTTGTCCATTAAATCAGCCTCAGGATGTGGGAGGGAAGAAGGTCACCCATGGACAGGGCAGCACTTTGGCGTGAGCCTCTTCCTGCCCAGGTCGACTCAAGCTGGGCACAGAAGGTGCAGGCAGGAGTAGGATCCTCCCTCTCCTCCTCTGGTTTATTGTTACAAGTGGGGAACAGAAGCACAGGGATCAAAGCCAGTGTTTTTGGTTAAGTATGTAGGCTAAGAATGGGGATTTAATGCAAACAAGACACCTACAAACTGCCTGTCAGGTGTCATTAAAATCCCTGCAGGCATCTTGGTTTTGGGGTCGTAATTAAGTTTCTAGTCAAGCTGAAAACTGATGCCCTGTTGGATTTGATAACCCTGGGTACGTTCCCTCCTTCAATAGAAATGTCTCAAAAGCACATGAAGTGACAAAACCAACCCCACACACTTCACTGTGTGCAGTGGGGCTGTATGTGCCTGTGGCTGGATGATAAAGACCCCAGGAGGAATTCATAGAATCATAGAATCATAGAATCATAGAATCGATTGGGTTGGAAAAGACCTCCGAGATCATCGAGTCCAACCCTTGGTCCAAATCCAGTCCATTTACTAGATCATGGCACTCAGTGCCACGTCCAATCTGCGTTTCAAAATCTCCAGGGATGGTGAATCCACCACCTCTCTGGGCAGCCCATTCCAATGCCTGATTACTCTCTCTGTAAAGAATTTTCTCCTGATATCCAACTTAAATTTCCCCTGGCGGAGCTTAAGCCCGTTCCCCCTTGTCCTATTGCTGAGTGCCTGAGAGAAGAGACCAACCCCCACCTGGCTAGAACTTCCCTTCAGGTAGTTATAGACGGTGATGAGGTCACCTCTGAGCCTCCTCTTCTCCAGGCTAAACAACCCCAGCTCCCTCAGCCTCTCCCCATAGGACTTATGCTCCAGTCCCTTCACCAGCCTTGTTGCTCTTCTCTGGACCCGCTCCCGCACCTCAATATCCTTTCTGAACTGAGGGGCCCAGAACTGAACACAATACTCAAGGTGTGGCCTCACCAACGCAGAGTACAGGGGAAGGATCACTTCCCTGCTCCTGCTGGCCACGCTATTTTTGATACAGGACAAGATCCCATTGGCCTTCTTGGCCACCTGGGCACACTGTTGGCTCATGTTGAGCTTCCTGTCAATTAGTACCCCCAGGTCCCTTTCTGCCTGGCTGCTTTCCAGCCACTCTGTGCCCAGCCTGTAGCGCTGCAGGGGGTTGTTGTGGCCAAAGTGCAGGACCCGGCACTTGGCTTTATTGAACTTCCTCCCATTGGAATCAGCCCATCTCTCAAGTCTATCCAGATCCCTCTGCAGAGCCCTCCTGCCTTCCAGCAGGTCGACACTCCCTCCCAGTTTGGTGTCATCAGCAAATTTGCTGATGATGGACTCAATCCCCTCATCTAAATCATCAATAAAGATATTAAACAGGACTGGACCCAACACAGACCCCTGGGGAACACCACTGGTGACCGGCTGCCAGCTGGATGCAGCTCCATTCACCAGCACTCTCTGGGCCCGGCCCTCCAGCCAGCTCCTAATCCAGGAGAGGGTACACTTGTCCAAGCCATGGGCTACCAGCTTTTCCAGGAGTATATTATGGGAGACAGTGTCAAAGGCCTTGCTGAAGTCTAGATAGACACATCCACAGCCTTCCCCTCATCCACCAGGTGGGTCACCTGATCGCAAAAAGAGATCAGGTTGGTCAGACAGGACCTGCCCCTCCTAAACCCGTGCTGGCTGGGTCTAATCCCTTATCCATCCTGAAGGTGCTGTGTGATTGCACTCAGGATGATCTGCTCCATAACCCTGCCAGGCACCGAGGTCAGGCTGACAGGCCTGGAGTTGCCAGGGTCCTGCTTGCAGCCTTTTTTGTGGATTGGGGTGACATTCACCAACCTTCAATCATCTGGGACCTTCCCAGAGAGCCAGGACTGTTCTTACTGCCCGAGCATAAGCTGATCCCCAGGGGAGCCTGTGGAATGTAACCCCTCAAGCACTAAATTCCTTCCCCTGTGCCAAAGACACAGGTTTGTTGTTGCTGCCCCTCCCGCCGAGCACCAGCTCCATCTCCTGCTCCTGCCCAGGGGCTTTGCAGAAATCCAGGGCTGGGTGTGGATTGAAGGCTGTGGCAAGGGACAGGATAAAGTGGCTTGGCTTCCACCCTTGGTGTCTCAGTGTTTGTGATCTGGGAAATTCTCAGGAACCTGGAACACTGGCAGATTATCTGTTGTTGTAAGCTATGTACCTAGAGATTGTTTTGATATGTGTTTACATTTTCCTTGAATGTACAACTGATTGAAAGTACAACTGAGAGAAAAAAATGTATAAAAAACAAGGAAAAAGGAAAAAAAAAAGAAAAAGAAAAACAAAGAAAAGAAAGGAAAAAAAGAAAAAGGAGAAAAAAAGAGAAAACAAGAAAGAAAAAACAGGAAAAAAATTGAAAAAAAAAGAACAAAGAAAAAAAGAAGAACGAGGAAGAAAAAAAAAGAGAAAAAGGAAAGAAGAAAGAAAAAAAAGAAAGAAAAGAAAGAAAGAAAAAAGAGAAAATAAAAGAAGACAGAAAAACTAAAACCCAACAAGTCCGGTCCTCCCCCGCCGCAGGGAATACAACTCCCACAATGCACCGCGCAGGTGGGGGCGTGGCGAAGGGCGGGCAGGGGCCGTGGCCGCGCGCTGATTGGCTGCGGGGCGGGGCTGTAAAGGCGGAGGGCGCGCGGAGCGAGCGCCATTTTGGCCTCGTGGTCGGGAGTGAGCAGGACTCGCCTGCGGCCGCTGCACTTCGCTGGGTGAGTTGGCGGGGGGGGCGGCGAGAGCGGGGTCTGGGGATCCCCTCGGGGGCTGCGGGGAGCGCGGGTGTGGGTGGAAAGGCTGGAGGGCTCGGGAGGGTTTAGCGGGGGGATTCGGGGGTTCCCGGGGACGTTTTGAGGGGTCCCTAAAAGGACTCAGGGGGGAGTTTGAAGGTCCCTGAAGAGTTTTGGGGGGCTCTGATGCGGGTTTTGTTTTCTGAGAAGATTTGGGGTGTCCCAGGTGGGCTTTGGGGATCTCTGGGGAGGTTTGGGGTTCCTGGGAGGCTTTGCGGGGACCTTCGAGGCAGTTTTGGGGTCTCTAGGGGGTTTAAGGTGTCTCAGATGGTTTGGAGGGCCTGTGGGGGGGATTGGGGGTCCCTGAATGGGATTGGGGAGTCTCAGGTGGGTTTTGTGGGTCACTGAGAGGGTTTAGGGGGTGCTGGGGAGGGATGAGGGGCCCTTGAGGAGGTTTCGATGGGTCGAGGGGGGGATTTCAGGGGTTTTGAGGGGATTTTAGGGGGTCCCCTAAAGCCCAGCAATGGGGTTCAAGGGGTCCCCCAGCCCAAAGGGGAGGGGTCCTAGGGATGCCCTCTAAAATCCAGGGTGGGAGATGTACCAAATCTGGGTAAGGGGATCCCAGTGCCCCCAGTATATCCCAGTGACCTCCCAGTTACCCTCAGTATGGCCCAGTAACCCCCTCAGTGACCATCCAGTGTGTCCCAGTGACCTCCCACTGCCCCCCAGTATGGCCCAGTGATCCTGCAGTGAGCACCCAGTAACCCCCAGTATGGCCCAGTAACCTGCCAGTATCCCCCCCGTTGTCCGGGTATCCCCCAGTAACTCCCCAGTTCAATGCCAGTGCCCCCCAGTGTGCCCTAGTTCCCCCCCAGGCCCTCCCAGTGCCCTCCCAGTGTCCCTCAGTAACCCCCCAGTCCTCCCAATGCTCTCTGGTTCCCCGCAGTCTGTCCCAGTATCCCCCAGTAATTATCCAGTGCCCCACAAAGCCCCCCAACTGTCCCCAGATGCCCTTGGCCTTTCTGTGGGAGGGGGAGCATTTCTGGGGTCAGAGGATCCAGAGAAGAGCAGCAAGGCTGGGGAAGGGAGTGGAGCCCAAGTGGTGTGAGGAGAGGCTGAGGGAGCTGGGGGTGTTGAGGCTGGAGAAGAGGAGGCTCAGGGGAGACCTCCTGACTGTCTGCAAGTCCCTGCCAGGAGGTTGGAGCCAGGTGGGGGTGGGGCTGTTGTGCCAGGAAGCAGCAGCAGGACAAGAGGGCTGGGTCTTGAGCTGTGCCAGGGGAGGTTTAGGTTGGATATGAGGAAGCAATTCTTTCCCAAGAGAGTCATCAGGCCTTGGAATGGTCTGGGCAGGGAGGGGGTGGAGTCAGCGTGACCTGGAGGTGTTGAAGGTGAGAGTGGATGTGGCCTCAGTGCCATGGTCTGGGAAGCACGGCGGGGTTGGATCAAGGGTTGGACTTGAGGACCTCGGAGGTCTTTTCCAACGTGGCTGATTCTGTGATTCTGTGATTGCCATTCCAATGGCAGCACATGCTTGAGGCTCTATCCCCAGGGTGATAGAGATGTCTGTCCATATCTATCTCCAAGGTTAGTCTGTAAATGTGTGGTGTTAGAAAAGCAGGCTAAGTTGTGGGCTGGTTGTAGAAGGAGAAGGAAGCCCAGAGGCCAGTGCAAGCAGGCAGCCCTGAGCTTGCACCTGATGTCCCCTCCCTGCAGGTTCCTGTCCTTGAGCCCAGGCCCTGAGGTGAGGCTGAGAAGTGGCGCGGAGGTGAGCCCAGAGCTGTCCCTGAGGTGAGGCTGAGAATAAGTGCAAGGCAGAGGTGCTGCTGAGGAAGGAGAGCCCTGTGGTGGGAAAGACCTGAAGCTGTGAATGCCCATCTCTGAGAAGGTGCTGTGTCCATCCCCTGTGTGCCAGGTGAGCTGGGGCTTTGCTGCAGAGCTGCGGGCGCTGATTTGAGCGTCTCCAAGTGCTGAGATGGTGGGCACCCAGGAACACAAACTGTGCCTGGCCACGGAGCCTGCAAGGAGGAGCAGAGACAGCGGTGGCAGTGTGGGGTCCAGGTTGTCCCTGTGCATTCCCTGCAGGCCCTGGCTGTCCCTGCTGGGCCCCTGTCCATCCCCATCAGGTCCCTGCCCGTCCCCCCGGGCTGAGCTCCCCCCAGGAAGTGCCGTGGAGCTGAAGCTGCTGCCATCCCCCCCCTGCAGCCGCTGCCCCAGCCAAGGGAGCAGCAAAGGCAGGGCCAGGAGCAGAGGCAGCAGCAGGGGAGCCCTGGGGGGGCCGGGAAGGTCTTGTGTGGGTCAGGAAAGAGGCGCTGGGCACGAGGCCGGGGCTGTGCTGAGCAGGCCCAGCCCTCACATCCCCCCAGCCAACGCCTGTGGAGCTGTTTGGTTGCCTTGGGCACAGCCGGCCCTTGTGCAGGGCTGTGCCCTTGGGGGCTTTTGGGGGTGGGCAGGAGGTGTTTTTTGGGGGTGCCGGGCTGGGTTGGTGGCAGAGCCTTGGTGGTGGGTGGGGGGATGCGGGTCCCCCCCACAGTGGGGGTTGGTGTTGCTGGGTCAGGCCCCGCCGGCTCCATTGTCAGCCCGGTGCTGATGGGGGGGACACAGCGGGTTTGGGGCCCCCCGGGAGTGCCGGGGGTGGGTGTGGAGCCCGGGAGCTGCTGAGTGTGGAGGGCGGAGCGGGGAGATGCCAGAACTGGGGGACCCCCGGGAGCCTCGAGGGGGGAGCATGGAGAGGGAGGAGCCCCGGGACCCTTGGGAACCTGAAACAGGGTGCGTGGAGAAGGGGAAGCCTGGACAGTGGGGACTCCTGGGATCCCCGGGACAACAAAGTGGAGAACCTGGAGAAGGGGAATATCTGGGAATGCAGCACCCCGAAGCTGAGAGTCAGAGGAGAATGGACCCTTGGACCCCGAACACTCCCAGCATCCCTAAGTGGGACCCCCAACATCCAAGACAGGGGAGACCCTCCGAACCGCAGAGGGGAGAGACCAGAGATGGGGAACATCTGGGAGAGATTTTTTGAGCTGAATCTTCATATTTTGCAGTATTTTTCAGCTGAATCTCATATTTGTGCAGTTTGGGAGGACGGGGATCTTCTTGCTATTTCTGAGTGGTTTTTTACCTGAATCTCAGTGGTTTGGGTTTTTCTGTGCTCAATCTTGGTGTTTTGGAGGTTTTAATGATGCCCGGTGAGTTCTAGAGATGGACTTGGGCAGGAGGAACCCCCAAGCCCTTGTTTTCCCCCCCATCAGGATCTGTCCTTCCCAAAGCTTGGGCGGATGGAGGAGGAGGCTGCGAGGAAGAGGAAGATGCCTTGGTCCCCCCAGGCAGGTGAGGAGGAAGTCAGTGTCCCTTTGGGCGGGTGTTGTGCTGGCTCTGTCAGCCGAGCATGGCCCCGGCTGCAGGACAACCCCGCTGGCGCCGCCGTCCTGCCGGGGCCGGAGTTGGGGGGATGTCCTTGGCCTTCCCTGTGGGCCGGAGGCAAATCCCCTGCCTGTCCTTCTTGCTTCCTGCCCCAGGCCCCGAGGTGAGGACGGAGAGCCCGGAGGACAAATCCCCCCGTGAGACCCTGGTGGGAGAGGCCGTTTTGAAGGGCTCCCCGGCGCAGGAAGGCAGCGGGGAGGAAAAGGGCCGGAGATCCCCCCGCAGGAGGGGCTCCAAAGCCATCCCAGGGTGCTCTGAGGAGGAAAGAGCCAGCCTGTGCCGGGAAGGCAACCGGAGCTTGAGGGGGAGCTCTGAGCTGGTGGTCCCTGAGCAGCCTCCCAGCAGGGAGAAGCCCTTCAAGTGCTTGGAATGTGGGAAGAGCTTCAGGAAGAGCTCTCACCTGCTCCGACACCAGGACATGCACACTGGGGCACGTCCCTACACATGTGAGGAATGTGGGAAGAGGTTCAGCGAGAGCAACCACCTCCGCACCCACCAGCGCATCCACACCGGGGAACGGCCCTACACGTGTGAGCAATGTGGGAAGAGCTTCAACCGGAGCTTTCACCTTCGTTCCCACCAGCACACCCACACTGGAGAATGTCCTTACACGTGTAGGGAATGTGGGAAGAGCTTCAGTCACAGCTCCACCCTCCGCAAACACCAGCGCATCCACACTGGGGAACGGCCCTACAAGTGCCTGGATTGTGGGAAGAGGTTTCCAACCAGCGGGAATCTCTACAGGCACCATCGGACGCACACGGATGAGAGGCCCTTCCGCTGCACCGACTGCGGGAAGGGCTTCAACCAGAACTCCCATCTTGTCACCCACAGGCGCATCCACACCGGGGACAGGCCCTACAAGTGTGGGGAGTGTGGGAAGAGCTTCACCCAGATCGGTGTCTTGACCAAACACCAACGGACCCACCAGTAAGGGAAGCCCTACCAGTGCCCCGACTGTGGGAAGAGTTTCGGCCGCTGCTTCCACCCCGAATGAAGCCCCTGATGCTGAGGCAACCCCTGGAGTCCAGTGACTGTCAGTCCATCCCATTCGACCACAAAGGGCCAGTCCCCTTTCCCAGGGAGAGGTTCTGCCAACTGAACCCTTCTTGGGGGGTGTGTGGAGATTCCTGCCTTGGCTGGGGACCCCCCAAGGTCACTCCTGGAGTCTGAGAACAGAGATCTCCCCCAGAGCGTTGGTCTGGGGGAGTTCCATCCATCTCTAATTAAGAATTATTGCTTTTGTGCCAGCTTTAGTAGAATGGCTTCAACAGTTGCTTTAGTCTAGAGCACTGTCCTGTCTTATCCTGTACTCCTGGTAATTTTAGTGTTTGTATTGTGCAGTAAATAATTCTGATGAAGATCTTTTGTCTGATCATTTGTAACCCCAAATAAATTAATTTCAATCAATAGATCTCATTTGCCATCATTAAAACCTGGGGGACCAAAGTGTTGCAGTCACACCTCTCTAATTCCTCTAAACTGAAACTGTTGGAATAACCCAAGGCTGAGATTGGATCCAGCAGCTCCCAGCACCCCACAGAAATTGGAAGCTCAGGGGGGCCAGCCCCCTTTGCCAACCTGCCTGTGCCCAAAGACCCCCATGGGACCGTCAGACCCGCCAGACCACCCCCCCTTTTTCACCCTTCTCCCTAATCCTTCCACTTTTCCATTGTTCCCTGAATCCCCAATTTCCCCCCCCCCCCAACAGTTTAGGGGTCCCAACCACCACTTTTTGTCCCCTCTCCTGTGGGTGCTGAAGGAGAAAATGAGGCTGCACACACAGAGTTCCATTTTGGGACTTGTCCTCCCATCTTTCCAGTGTCCCCCTTTCATTGGGGTTCCTTTGGAAACAGCGCCTGGGCTTTGTCTTTTAGTCCACCAGAATTCCCAGCATGGCCCCAAAGCAGTGCCCTGATCCCACACATTCCCCTCCCCTCATGTGCTGGCTGTGTTCAGCCACCACAGAAAAACACAGGCTGCCATGCAGAGCGTTCCAAGATATTTCCACTTTGGCAAACAACCCTCTCTGGATGGAAAACACCAGTCAAGGCCAAAACACTCCTTTTGGATCCTGATTAACTGAATGCAGCTGCTGCTGCCTTAACTTGTTCCCACAGAAATTATCAGGGTTCCTTTGCTTCCAGGAGGCCCCACATGTCACAATGGCCCCTGGATTCCATGAGCTTCCCCAGTCTCCAAAGGTTCCTTTAGTTCCATGAGACCCTGCAGTCCCAAAATGCCCTTTGGATTCTCGGAGGTTTCCCATTGTCCCAGGGTCCCTTGTGCTTCAGAAGGAGCTGCAGTGGGACAGTGGCCCCTTGGTTCCGTGAGCTCTGCAGTGTTCCAGGAATCCTTGGGTTCCAGGAGAGCCTGCAGTTTCACAAGGAGCACTTGAATGCAGGAGGTTCTGCAGGGTCCCAATGGCCCCTGGATTCTGGGAGGTTCAGAAATATCTCCGGGCTCCCTTGGTTCCAGGAGGACACACATGTCACCAGGAACCCTTGGTTCCAGGAGGTTGGACAGTGTCCCAGAATTCCTTTGATTTCATGAGGCCCTGGATTGTCCCAATGGCCTCCTGATTCCATCAGCCCCCTCAGTGTCACAATGGTCCCTTGGTTCCATGAATTTCCATGATGTCCCAGGGTTCCTTTTTTTTCCTTGGGACCTGCAGTGTCACAATGGGCTCTGAATTCCAGGAGTTTTCCCAGGGTGACAGTGCTGCCTTGATTCCATGAGGTTGCCCAGTGTCCCAGGGCTCCTTTGGCACCAGAAAGCCCTGCAGTGTCACAATGGTCCTTGGTTCCATGAGGTTCCACCATGTCCTTGCTGGAACATGCTCTGGAATCTGGACAGGCTGGATCAATGAGGCCAAGTGTCAGGGCCTGCATTTTGGTCCCAACAACCCCCAGGACGCTCCAGGCTGGGGGCAGAGGGGCTGGAGAGCTGCTCAGCAGGAAGGGACGTGGGGGTGCTGCTTGACAGGGACTGGATATGAGGCAGAGTGTGCCCAGGGGGGCAAGAAGGCCAAGGGCATGGTGGCCTTTGTGGAGAAGAGTGTGGCCAGCAGGAGCAGAGAACTGATTGCCCCTCTGTGCTGGGCACTGGGGAGGCCCCACCTGGAGTGCTGTGTCCAGTTGTGGCCCCTCAGTGCCAAAAGGCCCTGGAGGGGCTGGAGCGTGTCCAGAGAAGGGAACGGAGCTGGGGAAGGCTCTGGAAAACATGTCTGCTGAGGGACGGCTGAGGGAACTGGGCTTGTTGAGTGTGGAGAAGGGGAGGCTCAGGGGGGACCTCATTGCTCTCTGCAATGACCTGAAAGGAGGTTTTAGTGGGGTGGGGGTTGGTCTTCTCTGCCAAGGCTATCGTGAAAGGTTGTGAGGGAATGGCCTTAAATTGCTTTGGGCAAGGTTCATATTAGATTTTAAAGAAACCTTTTTCCACTGAGAGAGTGTTCAGGCATTGGAACAAGTAGCCCAGGGAGGTGGTGGAGTCTCTGGAAGTGTTCAGGTGTGTGGTGGGTTTACTTTGGCTGGACACCAGGTGCCCTCCCAGCCACTCTATCACTCCCCTTCCTAGCAGGACAGGGGAGAGAGTAAGGTGGAAAAAAAAAATAGTGAGTTAAGGCAGTTTATTTAAAGTGAAAAGCAAAGCGATGCTTGTGCACACAGAAGCCAAAGACAGCAGGGTTTGTTCTCTGCTTCCCAGGAGCAGCCATGGTCGGCCACTCCCGAGGAGCAGGGCTTGGGTCCGCGGGACGGTTCCTCAGCAGGCAGCCATCAGACAATGAATGCCCCCCTCCTGCTCCCTGCCTCAGCTTTTAGAGCTGAGCTGACCTCCCATGGGCTGCAATGTCCCTTGGCTCAGTTGGGCTCAGCTGGCCTGCTTGGGTCCCCTGCCAGGGTCTTGCCCTCAGCTAAGGAAGGAATGTCCCAGTGCTGGTGCTGTGCTCAGCAGTGGCCAAAACACTGGGGTGTTCTCAACCCCCTTCCAGCTGCCAATGCCAAGCCCAGCCCTGGGAGGGCTGCTGTGGGGAACTGAACTGCAGCTCAGCCAGACCCAACACACCAACAGAGAGGAAAGATTTTGATGAGGTAAAAACAGGCTCAGGGAATGCTGAGGGTGCTGAAACACTGACTGTGCAAACACTCCTGGTAGGCCTTTACTCTCTTTGTAACTTCAAATCCCAACACTACCTAAAAGTGTTGCCCCCCCCAATTGAAAGGAATCCACTGCTCTAATTCCAAACTCACCCTGAACTCAAAGGCAAAGCCCAAACCCAGAACTCCAGACTCTTACCAATCCCAAACCTGTATGGTTGGTATGAAAACCTAAGCTTTAATCCTAACCCAGCCCAAAACCCTCTTCCCCTAATCATGAACCAGACACTGCCATCAGAACAACAAACCTCCCAAAGTTCTGCCTCATCCCCACCCTGAGCTCTAAACCCCAAGCCCTGACCATTAAGCACCCCCACAGCCCTTGGGAGCAGGACAAGGACCTGGAGGGCCCAGAGCAGGCCCAGGGGGTTGGCAGAGGAATGGGAGGTGACCTGGATCTGCTCAGCTCTGCAGTGACCCCCAGGAGAAGGGCCTGGGCTCTGGGAGGGATGTCCTGTGGCACAGGGGCTCAGGATCCAAGTTCAGAAGGCCAAGTGCACATGGCAACAGCCAGAGCTGGTGCAGAGCCATCAGGGAGGGTCTAGAAATGCTGCTGGGAGGGGGTGGGAAAGCAGGAGGGGTGTGTGCAGCCTGCAAGGCCAGAGCAGCAGCAGGGCCAGGGCAGGACAGCCTGCAGGAGAGATGGCCAAGGGCTCTGGCAGGGCTGCAAGGCCCAAAGGCACCCAGGCCTTTGTCCCCTTGCCTCTGGCAGCTGCCTCTGCCACTCAGGCCACCACAAGCCACTTTCCTGGCAGGTTCTGCCCTTGGGTTCTGCCTCGCCCCTCCCTCAGCAGCCTGGCAGGGGTTGCCCAGTTTTGGGCCTTTGTTGTTCCTCCCCTCCCATCCCAGTGCCCCCCAAACAGCCCTGAGCCAGCCGGGAGGGACAGGATCTGCTGGGCCAGGGCCTGGGGCTCAGCCCTTGGCCTTTGTGCTCCACAAAACCAAGGCAGGCTTTGCTCAGCATTGCAGGGGCCTGCCCAGAGCCTTGGTCTGCCTGCACTCCTGGCCTCCAAGGAGCTGCTCCAAGGAGTCCCTGGGGAGGCTTTGGCAGTGCCTGCCCTCAGTGGGGCCCAGCAATGCTTCAAGGCACTTGGACTTTGGCTTCTGACTTCTTCAGCAGCTGCTTCAATCTTCTCTCAGTACCTCAGGATCATGGGCTGGGCTGCAAACACACTGTGGGGCTCATTAAATTCCAGAAATCCCTCAGGATCTCTTTGTCTTCCTTTAATTGTCTTCAAGGCAATTTCAAAACAAGTCTTCAGCGTTTGTTCTTTTTTTGTTTTAATTCAAGGATGGATATTTTTAAGTTCAGAGAAGAGGTGATAGAGGTGTTCTCCAAGTGATCTTGATGCTGAGTGTCTCCTCAGGAGATCCACACTGACCCTGGATGATCAACCTTGCTCCTCACCCTCCAACCTCCCCAGTTCTGACATGGCCCATCTTGGACTGACAGCTGATGCAGCTCCAAACACACTGTGGGACCCATTAAAAAACTGAAAAACAAATTATTTTTCTTTCTTTAATTGTCAATTACAGAGTTAGAGAGACAAATTCAAGAGGTAAACAGTGATCCAGATGAGGGGATGAATAAAAAAATTTCATTGTGTGCAACATATTGACAAGAAGACCCCCCTGACTACCACCAAAGACCTGAGAAGGAAGGCTGAGATGCTCATGAGTTTCATTATGAATGCTGTACAGAGGAAAAGAGGCAGGTTATTGCTGCTGAAAAGCATCT